GATGTGAAATATAAACAACCCTTAAATCAGACTTTAGTTACACCTGAGTAAAATTCAGGTAAGGTGATTGTCAAGTGCCAACAATCAGGAGAGATATTTGATAGTTGGTGCTTGAGAAGACTAAACATGTATCTGCAATTGACATGAATGGAAACGAGTAATAAAGTATATTAATTACTCGTTATTCTCTACTAATAGTTAATGAAAGACTGCATATTATGGCTATTTTGCACATCCCTTTCAAGATTTCAAGATTTTCAAAGGTTTATTGACATATCATACACACAACTACGGTGTAGTTATGCAATGAATGAAAAACTTGGGTCACAGGTTCCTCAACAGTGGATTACAAGACATCTATCAATATGTGTGTACCTCCACCATTAAACTGTCAAATTCTGCACATTTATTATACTATCTACATACATAAGAGTATAATTAATGTGTATAATATCAGTTAAAATAAGTGCTTCAACATAGTTAACATTGCAGGAAAGCAATATATTAGACGTTAAGCACTTTGTCAGGCTTAATATTTATCTGTAGCTTTTTTCTTATTTGAAAGAAGACCTTAACCTAAAGTATTCTTTAATGTGTTAATAAAGGTTAATTAATGTGTCTGTTTTGCACATCCTCATATTAATATCTTTGTACATCGTGCACTAAACTGTTTTATTGTAGAGATCACTTACAGTATCTTCATTTTTTATATTCTATATTTCTATCATTGACCTTCTACTTTCCACCTATGAAAGTATGTACTCTTAATATTGTTTTCATCAAATAACATTATTCAACAAAAATAACATTATTCAACAAAAATAATTCAATAACGTGCTTTAACCACTAGGCGGTGCACACAAGGTACACACAGCATACTAATTATAACTTTGTATTATTAGTGTAGGACACTTATGTATGTATAACATCTGAAGATGTGTAGTTTTATTAATGTTTGACATAATTTTACAGGATATTGCTATACTATTTCTCATGTTTTACTTCTACTCATTAATATCTGATTTGTAAAACATCACAGACAGAAAGGCATATCCGTCATTTAATGGTAAGCTATTGAAATTCTGAATCCATAGATGTGTCTCCCATCGCCCAAATCCCCTGACTATTCGCTCAACTCAGTATTTACATTCTTATATTCAAAGAAAATCAGTAATATCTTTAAAAACTACAAGTCCTTTTCTATCAGCTGTGCACCGTTATGGTGTAAATATAACCTATCTACCAATTGGATCAAATATAAAAGTCAGCCGAATTAGTGTTGATACTGCAAGGAGACGTATTGTGTGAAAAGAAATGCAAGATGTTGTTTAATTGTTGATATATTTATGATCCAAGTTACATATTCAGTTTTGGCGGTAGTTCTCCTGTTTGTCCAGAATTCTTCTCATCAGGGCTCTATAAACAAAGAACTACGTCAGATATGTAATATGTAATGCAGCCGAACCGTGTATTACAATGCCGTTATGTGATGACCTCCAAAGAGAAAAGCAAGAACACTCGGAAATAAAGTATTTTTTTTTTTCTTTTTCGGATATCATATCGCATTAACATCATATCCCAACATGCATTGCGGCTAAAACATCCAATCAACGAGCTTCAAGCTGAGGATCTTGGGTAATCTGTTCAGTGGGTTTGTGGTGTGTATTGCTCGAAATGTCCCTTATAGGCCTACGTCTGTTTCCAGTGACTTTATTTACGGCTAAAAAGCATGCTAAAAACTAAAAGCATGCTAAAAACCCCAAGATTATAGAATTAAATGAATAAATAAAAACAAGGATAATTGTGTGTTATTGTTGAGTAAATAACAGTGTGTTATTTATAAAAGAATAACAAATTAGAAGGAAAAAAAGATTTTCAAAAATACAGATTTCAGTATTTTCATTTATTTTCCTCACAGACGGAAAAAAAGTCAGACATTATACGATTTAAAATAAAAACAAATAAATAAAAAGATAAAACACTGGCATGTAATTTACGTTACAATAAATAGAATGGTTTTGAATAATAGATGAGAGTAAAATCTATGTCACTTTACAGCCCCGCCCACTTTTGGGGAAACCACACACACACACACACACACACACACACACACACACACACACACACACACACACACACACACACACACACACACAGAAAACCTTTTGAATTCATATAGAGTTGTTTTTTCAATTTCTTCTGAATTGTAGAAATCCTTGGTGTTTCAATACCCTCGTATTATATCATTGTTGCCCTGAGGCAACAAACCAACCCCTGGTTGAGGGTGTGGGGGGGTCACACCTAAAACACATGGTGAAACATTGTTTTTCCTCCCAAAATAAAAAGTCATGCCATAGAGGGATAAGGCACTATTACAAATATTCTTAATTTGCAGTATTTTATTTTAAAAGTATTCAGAAAGACTGCATCAAATATGCTAGCCTATATCTATATGTCTATATAATATCAATATTGTTATTAACTTCAATCAAAGTCAATTTAAATAGCGGGCAAGACTTTCCAAGGAGTAAAAATGCTGCTGCCGGACTACTGACCGGAGGTATTGCTGGATAAAATACTCTGTCCAACAATGAAGAAAGGTGTTTTAACGCTGATTCAAAATAGCAGAGAAACATGCATTCTTGTTCTCAGGAGGGGACATTGACAGAGGATTACTCAAAACGTACACAGTAAGTACTTCATAGTACTTGTTGTGGGAGTAGTTTCACTAGTAGGCTACTGAGTCCAAAAGGATCGATCTCACACAAACTCGAGAGACGGCTGAGTGACCGCAGTGCAGAATCGCTGTATAGTTGAAATCTCCTAACAATGTTGTCCATTTTAGACACAGGCCTATTATATTTCCAGCCCTCAATAACATTCATTATCTGGGCTCAATATGTATCTTGGCTGTTTCCGTTGTGAAAACAAATGGACCGTAGATACTCGGATTGACCGTCCTCATCTGCGCTCTTATTTTGAAAGACAACTTCCGGTAGCAGAATATGAAAAAACGGGGTTTTTTTTGTTTCTGTTTTCTAGTGATTTTATTTTTTGTTTTGAGAAGTAGAACATGAAAATCATCCCGTTTTTTAAGTTTAGTAAATCCATTTTTGACCATGATAAAATGATAAATCCAATGACCAAAACATACACTGACCGACCGTACAGACTTTTTTTTATTAGGTTTTCTCGTTATCCGTCTTTTGATTCAGACAACAGAAACGGGAAAACGGCTTTGGTTTTCCGTTTTTTCATTTTAAATCAAAAACGAAAAAACGGAAAAAGGCTGGTATTTCCGTTTTTTGGCTTTTGGTTTAAACGAAAAATCAAACTGACAAAAAGTACACGGACCAGTTTTACTCGCGATTGAGAAACGGCCTATGTGTCAGATGCGCGTTCATAATGCAGAGGAAAATAACTCTCATAACGTTATTAGCACATTTTACAATTTGAGAACCTAATGTTTTTAATAAGGGATATACAAATGTTAATACTGGGTAGTTTATTTGGTTAAAAAAATTAATAATTATCCAACGATTTACAGACGTCTCTTTCCCAATCAATGGGGGAAAGTATTTCCGGGCCCAGGGACATCACGGACTTGCAGTACCGCCGTTTGGACACAACGAATATTTTCCTCAGAGTCCGGCGGACTTCCTGGGGGCTTGGTGCAAGTAGGCTGACATGTGACAACAATTACTTAATAAGCTAGTTGTTTGCTTTTTAGAGTCTCTTATACCCCCTAGTGGTCAAATAACCCACCAGCAATCCAAGTAGAATAATATAAGTAGAACAATGCACATTATAAGGAAAAGGGACACTCTTGAAGTCTAGCATATCATTTAATTGATTTATACAAATAACTTACAACCATAAATGATAAGAGTGAGTCATCTTTTGAGATTGAAATGAGTTGATTATATGTCGTAAAAATAAATTGACCTGATGAATGTCTTGTCTTGGTTAAAATGTGAATGTCTTAACACAGAGTAAAATAAAAGTCTGTAAGAAGGAATATTTACTTACAATGTACAGAGTTATCAACTTGAAGAGAAGAGGCTGCATAGCATACACATTTAACCAGTGTTGGGCAAGTTACTTAAAAAAAGTAACTAGTTATAGTTACTGCTCGCAAAAAGTAACTAGTTACTTTATTAGTTACTAAATTATAAAAGTAACTAGTAAAGAGTTACTTTACTTAAAAAATAATAACAATAAAAATACAAGTTTTTGTGTTGTTCTGTGGAACCGTAAGAGAAAAGACAACTCCCCATCATTGTAGCAATTATCATTATGAAATAGTGGAACAATAAAACACAAAAGTGCGATTTAAAAGATCGTTTTTTGGCTGTCTAGATGGTGTTGCTCCATCTGTGTCACTGCCGGTGGTTGAGACGGTGGAGTCTTTGGCGACTAGTTTTATAGCCCCATGTACATTACTTAGGTGCTTCAGGAGATTGACATTGCTGTTCGATGTGGACAATGCTTTCTGTCCTGCACACAGTTTACATTTGACCGTAATATTTGTTGTGTCCTTTATCCCCACAAATTGAAAATAGTGGTTATATTTCCAAGTTGCAAATGCGCTGCTGCTCTCGCTGATACGTGTGTGTGTGTGTGTGTGTGTGTGTGTGTGTGTGTGTGTGTGTGTGTGTGTGTGTGTGTGTGTGTGTGCGCGCGCATTAGCATTAGCAAGTGTTTGTGTGTGTATTTCCCCCATAAGGCAAGACCCGCCCAACTCTGTCTCTGATTGGCTTACCCTGAAAAGTTACCCCGCATTAACCAATCATCACTCCTCTCTGGTTACTTGAACTTTTCCATGGTGCTGTGAGAGGACATCGCTGTATTCGCACCCATTTCAATCACAGTAACGATAACGGCGTTACTGAATGGTAATAGGTAACGAGTAACGCTACAATGTACCACAGAAAGGAGATGCGTTACAATAACGCGTTACTTTGTAGTGTGTGTGTCCCAACACTGCATTTAACACATTGTTCACTTTGTATTTTAATCTGGATATTTTTTATCAGCAGCAGCAGAATACTTTAGCATTTCAAAATCACACCTTGATAATGAAGAGGGAATCAGTGAGCAGCAAGCATGCACTTGACCAGTCTGGTCCTCAAAACAGATCATCCACAACAGATTGTCCTACACACTCTTAACTTTACTCAACATGCTTTTGTAGTTTACCCTGCCTCTGTTTTGTGTGCTCTGAGCACATCCAGTAAAAAAAGACAAGTCCAGCTTGCTTCAGCACTTCTTGGTCAAGACAAATCTCCATCGTGGGGCTTTCTGTTGATCATAGAGAGCTCCTCCTCTGGCTGGGTGAAGATCATCCTTGGAAAAGGATGCAGTCTTGACTGTGTATCATACATTGTACTTTTTTATAAGAAAACACTCAACTGTTATATGAGGAAATATAATATTTAACTCAATAATAAGTAGCCTTTAGTGGTTTTACAGTTTGTGTTTCATTCAAGGCTGTTACAAATATTTCCTTGTTTCGACATTTTATTTGAGAATGTTTGGAATAGCTCAATGTGCTCATCTGATATATAATGCCTTATCTTATGGAAATGACGACATATAATAGACAATACATAACTACCTACACCTAGAGGAGAGTGGAGCGTGATGTTGATAATGAGTTTATGTGTCTGGTAACATATATAATATGTGATTGAAATCATACACAATCTGCGACAGATCAGTCGTCAGCCTTTTCAGTCCACTCTCCTCTCCTCCTCCCTGCACTTCATAGGGATGAAGTGAGACGCTATGTGCTCCCTCCTGGTCTTCTTTCCTCGCATCGGCCTTCCCTTCTGAGACAGAGTTATGAACATTTCTTTGCGATTTTTAGTCCACTTTGCAGAGGAGTAAGCGTTGAAGTAGTTTTCAAGGAAAACCTCCTTGAAGTTGCAGTTTTCATTGTAGAGCCTCTGTAAAGGATAAGACAAACATAACAGCTTGAAAAAAAAATATTTGAATGTCATTATTGTAAGTGCTTCATTAGTTCAAATTTATGTTCTGCAATTATTGCTTTATATTTGCTTGATTGTGTATTATCTTGAACAGTGTGTGGCCTCTCAAAGAGGAAAATATTACCTTGCCTTGCAGCTGTCCAGCCTTGTTCATAGTTATGTAGTACTGACTCTTCACACCTTTGATAGCCAGTATGCCCCCCTCAGACACTGTCCTGATCTCCAGGATACCTGCCAGACAGTTGCACAGTTAATAAAACACGACATATTACAGGATAGATAAAACGTGTCAACATCTAGCCTTCACTGTGGCTCTGTGCTGTGCCCAACATCCATCTTCATTAACAAGCTAGACGGTAGTTCCTGTGGTTAATCAGCCAGTGGTCTCTCTGGCTTTATTCAAGCGTTGTAAAATGGCCTGGGTGGCTATTACACAAACCACAACCTATGCCATGCCACATATGGGAGACAGATTAGGCCTCTTTCTCCTGGGATTGAGGAAACTACCTCCTTGAATGAGCTTTGCACGCTACGTTTTAGGCCTGCTCTTCAATTCTGTGGGAAAGTAAACTTGCACTGAATTGTTTTGGTTTGTCATTTCTTCTTATTTTGTTAAAGAACTTCTGGTGGGTACCAAATGTTTCATTACACTTCTTGGAAGTGCAGTATAAACAAAGGCATTTCTGAAATTGTTAATTGAATCAAATATTACTAGTCCCTACAACGAAACAATATGAATGTAATGTCTTAACACTAGATGCTTTTGGAGAAGATGCAAATAAAACTAAACAAATCAGACCAAAGAGAAACATTTTAAGATCTGAAATGTTGATCTTGTTATACAAAGGTTACGGTAAGGTTATTATAGGTTTGAATCATACAACATTTACTGAAGTCCGAAAGTTATACATCAACAATGTCCAGATGATATATTTTCATGTTAGATAAAAACCTTGTTACATATTGCAGAAATAATTTCATTTGGGAGGAAGAGAAAAGGGGAGACATCTATTAAGGCAGTTCAGACGGACATTAAGCATGCTGCATGTTAGTGTTTGCTATACCACTAACAGATGTCAGAGTCCCCATCATAAAATGTTGTTTGTGCTCAGTTAGCACTTGATATTTGACTTAATATTACTTCCCTTAAAAGTTGCGCCCTGCTTTTCTATCCCCGTTAGATTTGATTTATTATGATTAAAGGTGAAGTTTAAAATTACACTATTAGAGCTCTATCTTCATTTGTGAACATTAACACATTAACGTTAACCGTTAAATTCCTATAATGAACTTTTAGTCAAATGTAATAAGTAGGGATCGCAATGGAATGACTTTGTTCTTAGTGTGTCTTAATGGTTGTATGGTTGTTATAAAAAATGTAACCGTTTTGGTTGTTTTGTCTACTGTGAAAGATGGCACATATTTCCACACACATGCACACATATTGTTAACATTGGCTCTGACGCAGATAAACTAACCTCAGCTTGAACAGATTTGTCATCACTTGCTGAGCCTCTGGCTAAGTAAACTGACTTTTGGGTAATCCCTAATCCTATTTTCTCTGAACAGTGTTTGAATCTATTTTTTCATCCCTTGGAAAGGATGTTGCGATGTTAAGATTAATATTGACTGCTTCATACTTCATAGGCAAATCCTCATCTTCACCGAAACTACAGAATACTTCAGACTTTCTTCAGATTACCTGTATGTCAGTGTGTCATTTATCAAATGATTGTAAACAAGTAGCAGGTTGAAGATCCGATCCTTTTTTTTCTTCTGCACCTGACACCAGGTCTTTTATTTTTCAATCTGAGTGACTTAGTAGAGAACTATAACATATTACTACTCTCTCATTCTCATATAGTCTTCAAATCTCTTGTTTTCCAATTGTTTATGTGGTTTGGGAGTTGTTGATGGCCTATTTCGAAGTTGTTTATCTTCTCTTTGCTGTGGCTGAGCACAACCTTTTATTGAAATTATTATCACATTTTTGTGATCACAACATGTACATCGCCTTTCACTTGGACACAGACGTACATATGTTAGTAGTTACCATTTAGTATTGTGTTTGGAAATGTATCTGCTACTTAAATGTAACATGTGTTTTTTTGATTTGAGAATACAAAAGCTAGAAGTAAAAAAACTTGTGCCGTTCAAGACATAAGTTTACTGGAAGTAAGTCTATATTTGAGTTGTAGAGGCACTTGGAATGTAGCTGCCAAAAATAATTCAGCTCTAAGTTTCTCATTTTGGTTTCTTCTTTTATGCTTTCTCTTTTTGTAAAAAAAAAACCAAGCAGTTCAAGCAATCAGATTTTCAAGAATTTTTGTTCACTGTGGGCAAAAAATAATTACTCACTGATTTAGAACACATATATCTGGTCTTTTCAAATGCTTCTTTGTTACATTTTTTTGTGCTTTTAGCGTGCGACTGTCAGCCATGGTTGTGTAATTTTTTCTGTCTTTTGTTGTCAATTGTTACACGAGCAGTTTTTCATCCACTTTGAGGCATTTCCCCCGCCAAGCCAACATTCCAGCCACGGCCACACTGTCAGATAGGAGGAAATGATAAGTACTTGAAAACATCCTCACCGTGGCCGAGATCTTCAGTGGTTAACATTGGCTCTAATACAAACATGAAACAATTGTGTTTAATTAAAAGGTAATGACTATCAAATAAAATTAGTCACTCAGTGTTGAAATAGCAAGCTTATTGGACATATTTAAAAACACAGTACCGTGGCTGTCTCTGTGTGAGACATTCATCATAAGGTTGATATCAACACATTTTCCATTTCTAATATTCATGCCAGTTCTTTGTCCCACACCTCATTCTGACAGTGTTAGTTTCTGGGAGAGTAAATCAAGCAGAACGAAAGTGAGTCTGCTGCAGTGTGAGTGTGAGGTCACAGGATCCTGGCACCCAACAGGCTCCATGGCCCTTCAGTTTACTTAATTACAGCCTGTGTTTAGATGGTGTTATGGTTTAACAAGCCAAAGCCCCAACCTGCTTCATTTTACCTCTGTCACTTTGGCTGCTCGAACAGAGTCTCATGACCCATTAACACTGTGATTACTCTTTGGAGAACTCTGTACAATAACACCTCCCACGTGCTTCTGTCAGCTTGACAAGTCAAAGGTTTTTTACTGGAAACATCTCACAACTAAACTCTGCAATACCAGAATCATACCATTTCATATTCTTGGAATAACTTCGTACCTGCATTTAAGTAAATGTATATTTGGAATATATATTCTTGCAAATTGGATTAGTTTTTTATTGATAATAATTGGAACTCATAATGTACCATTGGTATTATAATTTGAAAAAAAAGAGTCATCCTTACTGTAGCAATTGGTGGGATCTTGAGTCCCGTTGATGTTGCCATTGTCATCAATTGTCAGGAACCACTGCGTGCGGCTGAACAGCTGTCGGATGCGCACATCTCCTCCCTCCATGTAGTCGTAGTTCCTGGTATGGCGCTCGTGTTTGGAGCAGTTCATGATGGCGGCAAGTTGCTCTGGAGTGCAGTCACTGTAGACCACACACACGCTGCCGAACAAGAAGATGGCATGCAGGTACAGTCCCGAGAACAGATTTTGAAGGTTCCATGTCAGCATCCATTTGCGCATTATAATACAATGCAGTGGGGGTCAATGAACAACATACTTAAATGTGAGATAGAGATCTGTGCGCTATCCCTCAGCCCAGTGACCCCCTGATCCCTGACTATAATGCTTGTGTTGAGACCTCCGGGTCCTGTTGCAGTGATTCCTATTAGGACGTTGGGACGAGATGGTTGTGGAGGAGACTTTGTGAAGCTGGTTGGGGTTGGCTGAAGCTGGAGAGTGCTCTGAACAATACTGGTGACAGTATTATGCGATGATATCTGTCTTTAGTCCTCAGCGATGCTCTGCGTAGACTGCTCCATCCTCTTGAGAACATAGTCCGACAAGAGACTTCATAATCCAGCTCAGCAAATGTTACGCAGGGATGTCGCTGTGAAAATAAAGTAAACTGGTTTGATTCTAGCTAATGCAGTTGTATAAAATTAGACCCAGAGATAGATACACTTACATGTTAAAAAAAAAAATGTTGTTAAAAAAACTCATAAAAAAACCAACTAATTCTGTAAATTATAACAAGGATTGACCAAAATGTATAGCAACGTTCAAATAAACACTTTCCTTTATCTAATATTTTGTGTTTGACACAAATACGTTTTGTACATATCCTAGCAATATCTAAAAATTCCTGAGGTGTACATTGACAGGCAAATTACTCCCTTTCATAGACCCACAACAGACGTATTGCAACAACGTTGTTGGATTACTTTACAAGACTATGGTCTATAATCTCATCTGTATCAGAATATATACAAACAAACAAACAAACTGTGCTGCTTTTCCTGTAAAAACAAAAACAAAGTTTAATGACTTACATGTGCTCTGAGTGATGACAAGAATTGTCGGAGATGTGTTCCCTTTCAGAGAGAGTTTTAATTTGAAGCCTCTGTAGTTTTAAAGCTGTCGTCTCAGTTGTAAACCAAGCACAGCGATGAAGTAGAGGTAAGCAAGAGCTTGGAGCTTCTGCCAATTCCCATGGATGTCTGTCTGATTCTGGCAGGCTGACTCTGTGCATCTTCCCCTGTCGCTGTGCACTCTGCTTAGATAAATGCCTCCTGCTGACCTCACTTGAGAGCAATTAGATCCCAACCAGTCAGCTGTTCCTGGCCCAGATGCAATGGAGAAACACCCTCTGCCTGCCTCTTGCTGTCAGTCACCCACCGGACATGAGAGGGAGCTATAAACTCTTGGAACAGCAGGCTTTCCTTGGTATGCACTCCGAAATAGTTTATGAAAATGTGCATGCACACTCACCCTTGTGGAAATCGCAACAACATCTCTCCTTTTTCAAGGAAACATGTCTCACACCCAAATAGGTTTGAGCATGTTACAGATCTCATGAGTCACATTAAGCTATGGTTAAGATAGTTGCTCTGATGACGAAGGGTTGCAGAATTTCTTCCCTATCATTTTAAATGTCAAAATTAGTTTGTGGTTGTACTGAGCTTCCTTGAGTAATTGGCATGGATTTATTCACTCAAGTAAAAATATAGCTTCAAAGAAGCCCTTTAGTTTTCATTCTTATTGAGTGTAATAGTGGGAAGCAATAAGTTATGGCTGGCAGGTATCCATCCAAGAGGAAAGAACAGAAGACATAACTGCTCAGAAGTATTCATCATCTCTGTGTCGGGGTCATGCACTCTTTCACTTTTTGTGTTTGTATTTAAAGTCACAATTTATTGCCTTACATACCTGGCCTTTCCTTGGACTCACTACTTCAAAAGTTTATATGGGCCCTAATGACACGCTCCCTGTGGAGGTCAGGGCTTCAGGCCTGAGAGAGAAGGACTTCTGGCCGCAGCAGGTCTCCTTCTCATCTCTGAACTCGAGGTCGTAAAGACCTGATCTATTAGGTGTCACTCTGGCCTGTTCATGTGTCCCTTCTGTCACCTCAGAAAGTGTTCACACTCTTTGGACATTAAAGGCCAGGGCAGCCACTGTGTTACAAATACCAGAGAACTGGATATACAATGTAACTAATGTTTCAATATAAATACAGAATACTAAATTCCTTACATTTTACAGACAGGTGGTCTCGGTCTTTATGAGAATTTCACAGAACCACTATCTTTAAATTACCATATTCTCATGTGGAGATGTTTGTTTGACCCCATGAGCTATGCTGTGAGGGACAGCTAGAAACCTGGCAAGGTACCCCAAGACTAATTTCTAGAGAAGGAGAGAGAGGCCAGAGAAGGCTATTCCAAGACCCTTATTGGCCTAAACAGAAAAGAGTGACCTTGTCTGGGGCCCCCTTCTTCAGACAGACCTGTAAGAGGAGCTTGCAGGCAAGACCTTAGTCACTGGGCCTGGTCATGCTCAAAACAATGCAAGGGCACCATATGGGCGTTCTGTTTTAGTGCCATGCCAATTGGGCGACAGTTGGTCCCTATGGAAGACTGACCGTTGGATTCTGAATGTCATGTGGGGCTGGAGCCTGTGAAGGAGATTGACAAACAAACGAGTTTGCCCCACTGTAACGCACAGCACCAGCTGAAGACCTATACAATGAGTAACGGCCCGTCTACACTACAGGCATAAAAAAATCTTGAAGCTGGGCGTGTCTGAAGCTTGGCGATTTTTTGCGAGCAACGCGACCAACAACCAATCACATGAATCTCCCGCCCCCGACATACAAAGCAATAGCAATGTTAAAACGAAGTAAACTGGATATAAACTCCCCAAACAGGCGAAAACCTACCAGTTTCACCCACTGTCTCTGCCACCTCCCTCCATGCCTGGTTCCTCCGGTTTGTATCCCGGTAAATAGTTCTGGTCGGAAAGAACCGGGTGATTTGCTACCGTAATTTCTCATTTGGAATATGAGGAAATGAACTGCGGTCTGGCTCTCCCAGCTTGCACGCGGTTTGATTGGCTAGCGCTTGTACTGGCGGGATTTGCATAAACGGGATTTGATTGGCTGATGCCAGCTTCGAAAGCATCGGGAGCATCAAAAGTTGAACATTGCTCAACTTTTGATGCTCACGATGCTTGCAAAGCCATGCTCCGCTCCCCACAATGCAGTTCGGCGAAGATTCAAAATCTTCTACGTCACCCCATTCAAGTGAATGGGCGAAGCATTGAAAGCATTTTTCGATGCCTGTAGTGTAGAGTCTAGACGGGCCGTAAGGGTCTATATTCTGTCCTTTTCCAGAAATGCCTAATGGGAAAAGTATGGCGGGATTTGGGTGCACACAATCCCCTAGTTATGTTCTCAACAGCAGTTTGGAATATCACACCTTTATCCAATATCTGGGTGGTGTCATTGACTCTCACACTTGTTGAAGAAGGCATCCCCTGACTCCCTGTGCAATGCCCTGCTCACCTCTCTGCTTAAGGTCAATGAGGTACTTATATATCTTCATAAACACATGGTACCATGTTGCATGTTCAGCCACATTTGTTAGGGACTGAATTCACACTTCTAGTCTCTTTTAACATTCTGACTCACCTTCAATATGGCCATGAACCTCGAACCCAATAATAAGATGACGGATACAAGAAGTTCAACATGTGCCAGAAAACTAGAGCCAGGAGCTAAGATATCCCAAACTCAAATGGGACTGTTACTGGTTCATTTTGAAAGGCGCCCGTTGAGGTGACCATGCCTGGTGAAGGAATTTCTGGCATGTCCATAGTCGGTTGGACCCAGTTGTCAGTTGGACCCAATTGTTGACCAAGACCACGTTTGAAGGATTATAGTTCCTGTCTGGCTTGTTTACAGCTCAGGATCTCCTGGAAATGACTTGACATGCCTCTGGACTAGAGAAGGACATTTGGGACCACTTCCTTTTAAACAGAAGTCTCACCATTCCAATCGGCCCTCTATGGGAAAGATCACTTCTAGTACTGTTTATCATCTAAATGCAGACCAACCTTACATCATGAAAAGAGGGCACGCAAGAAATATGTATATGGCATACTTCACATTCGCTTTAACATGTTCGTTTTTTGTGCCTAACCATGTGACCTTTGCTTGGACTTACAGCACATAAAAATCAAAGATTTGTTATCTTCTGAACGAATCAATTAACTTTGTTGTCAGCAAACTTTCCCTCAATAATTTATTGCTTAAGTAGTCCCCTGGTTGCTTGTCAAATGTATCTTACTAATGTATTCTGTCTAACCCATTATTGTTTTGCCATCGGCGCTCTAAGTCAGTAAAATGATCTGCCTGGGGACCAACTTATTTACTTTCATCTATATTGGATTTTAAATCACGCCTTTACACATCTGGAGTCACTGTTCTTTTAGCGTTTCCTTGCTTCCCCCCCCCCACATTTTTTTGTTTCAAACCTTTATTATAAAAATTGTTATTAATTTCGTTCCCGGAAGGAGTATTCATATTAGTGCTGGTAGTAGTTTTTCTTAGTGTATTAGAAGTACAATTGCAAAAGTAATGCTGTGCATCAGAAAGAGAATCACAAGGTCAATGCACGTCCTCAGTTGACACGTCATGTTCAGTGACAGTTATCAGAACTTGTATGTATTTCTGAGTGTGTGTGCTTTTGTGTGTGTGCATGCAGGTTTGTGTGTGTTCAGGTAGTTTGGTTTTATAGCCTTAAGGCCGCCTGTTGCTGTTCAAGTATCAAAGGACCCGCTCTGTAAGGAGTTTACAGTAGCAAAGGAAGTGCTGTGGCCGTGAGGCAGGCACACTAGACATGCGTGAGTGAGCCTCTTTAAATATAAATTACAGTATGCCTTCACTTCCATCAGTCTGCCTCGCTACATTGTTTATTTCTCTCTTTCTGTCTTTTTCTGTTGCTGCTTTTTTGTGTTTTAAACTTTACAATTCCTTTTAATTGATTCCCATTGTCGAAGGTTAGGTAGATGGTTGATGAAGCCAGGAGAGAGTCTCTGAGGGGTAAGAAGATTGCAGAGTAACACGCAAACATCCAAGCTCACCATAAACTCAAATCCTGTTCCAACTCCAAATTCAGTCTAAACCCCAGCGCCAGTCTCAGAGCCTCGCTGTGTGTCCGTCTGCTTTATCCAACATGAACTCACAGCAACATTATCATTAGTGATCTCATTGCTTATATTTATGAAGTTTAAGTAAGTTATGTATATTTTTCTGTAACAATGTACTGTTTTGCAAGATATCATAGCGTGGAGTTGCTTTTCAAAGTTAACTAATTCAGACATGATGGCTAGATAGCATTACATACCCACACAAACATTTCTGGATTTCTTTACTATTTTTCTGAACGTTAGATGTGGGACTTAACATTCTGGGAAGTTGTTTTAATAAAACCATCGTCATGCAAATCGCACAGCACTTAATGGCTATATTAAGTATGTTCACTGGTTGTTTCCAATCCCTCGTACGCAAGACAAATATTGCTCTGTGATTTACTTCCGTGTTCTATCACAAGAGCCTCTTGGAGTGTTAGCACAGGGGGCTAGATCCATAATTTATTATACTTTCCACAATAAAGACATCTGAGAGAGAGAGCGAGATTAATTTTAATTTTAGGGTGAAGACTTGGTTAGGGTAAGGGTTAGGGTTGGGCATGTGTTGGTTAAGGTTAGGATAAGTCTCCAGGAAATGCATGTAAGTCAATGTAATGTCCCCTGAAGTGATGTATACATGCCATTGTGTGTGTTCTCTTCCCTGTCTTCTGGTGATATGTCTGCATTTATGCTGGGAGAATGGATTATGTGTAAGGTCAGTCTATTCTTAGCACTGTTTTAGATAGCTTCTGCTTTCTAAATTCCATCATAATTGGGGATCTCTCGGGATGGAGCCTCACAACATTAGCTCCAACTATAAATAACTAGCTCACAAACACGGTTGCACCCACAAACAGTGCACTCATACACACACAGGCACAGAGAATGGCATTTTTTAATAAAGGACTTTTTATGAAATAGCTGTCTAATTTAGTGTTTAGGGAGTTCAGTTAAAGTCTTTTAGTTGACGGGGAATAACAGATCAGGATCAAACACTAATGGTGTATGGCTGCTATGATTTCCCAGTAAATATCATGTCTCTCTCAAGCCAGTATAACATTATTTCAATCAAATAACCTATGGATGATATGAAAAG